GGGCTCCTGGCCTTACTACTACGAGCAAACACGCTACTAGGGGCTCCTGGCCTTACTACTAGGAGCAAAGACGCTACTAGGGGCTCCTGGCCTTACTACTAGGAGCAAGGACGCTACTAGGGGCTCCTGACCTTACTACTAGGAACAAGAAGCTACGAGGGGCTCCTGGCCCTACTACAGGGACCAAGAAGCTACTAGGGGCTCCTGGCCATACTACTAGGAGCAAAGACGCTACTAGGGGCTCCTGGCATCGCTACTAGGAGCAAGGACGCTACTAGGGGCTCCTGGCCTTACTGCTAGGAGCAAAGACGCTACTAGGGGCTCCTGGCCTTACTGCTAGGAGCAAAGACGCTACTAGGGTCTCCTGGCCTTACTACTAGGAACAAGAAACTACTAGGGGCTCCTGGCCTTACTACTAGGAGCAAAGACGCTACTAAGGGCTCCTGGCCTTATTACTAGGAACAAGAAGCTACTACGGGCTCCTGGCCTTACTACTAGCAGCAAAGACGCTACTACTAGGAACAAGAAGCTACTAGGGGCTCCTGGCCTTACTACTAAGAGCAAAGACGCTACTAGGGGCTCCTGGCCTTAGTAGTAGTGTTGCACCAGTCTTTCTTGGTGAGACACGGAAATGGTTTTCCAGGATGAACTAGCAGCCCTCATCTCCGAGAGCAATCTCTACTTGGCGGCTCTCCCAGACGAAGGTGCAGAGCTGACCCGACTTCCTCACCAGCATGATGGTAGAAAAACTCTTTTGATCAAAAGCAACGTCTGGCCACCTTGGCCTCCACCTTTCATTGACTGGAAGCTCCATTGTTCTGGAGTTGAGGGCAACAGGGTTACTCTTGAGCGCAAAGAGTCTAAAGGGAATGGAATGCAAGAGATATCCGGAACATTTGTCACTGAAGTGGAACTCACATCCTGTCACCAGGTGGTTTGTGCAACTCTTCTGACCTCTTTGTTGCTTGGCAAAGCTGTGTGCGTGTTTTTTTTTCAAGGCTACAACGCTTCCATGTTATCCGCTTGTTGGCCTTTATTTTTCTACCCTTTTAGTTGCATGACTTAATCAAACACAGATGCGTGGCTTTCTAGTTTCCAAGTTTCTTCCCAAGCGAACGATGATAAGAGTTACATAGATTGATAGACACAGTAGATGCCACGAGAGACCAAATCCCTGAAGAACGGAAAACCACTCAGAAAGCAAAGGACAATACATCGACGTGGAGCTGTGGGGCAGACGGATTTGCATGCTGCCTGCGAGTGCCTGTTGCCAGCTTCACACCAGAGGAGCGTGAAGGGACCTTTCACTTTCTTGGAGCCCCAAAGGATGCTCCTTCGAGCACCTTCAACACTCTGGGTCACCTACCAGCACATTGTTTTGCATTTCGGTGTTGGACATTAAAACATGAAGAAACTCAAGGAGACCAGCTTGAATGAACGACACTGCAGGTCAAATACCCTCTGGCTTTAGTAAGTACAGCTTCTCATGCGCCATTAACAAGGGCATTACTACTAGTATATAGCTAGAAGTTGGTGGGAGGACATTGCTTTGTCCAGTAGTTAAGTTTTCCCAAAAATCTTGGAACCAAATCAATAGTGCGAGCGCTTCTTCAAGGAAGCTTCCATGTACCATACCTTAGGAAATCATTTGGAGGTGGGAGTGACTTAGTGAACTAATTGTAGCAACAACAAATTAAAGCATGTTTTTCCCCCAAACAGTTCAAGCCGCCGAGCCTGGGAGACAAATGAAAGGAAGTGGGAGACAAGCCAGCCGGGAACCCGACCACAAGCACCCAGCCTGGGAGACAAATGAAAAGAAGTGGAAGACAAATGAAAGGAAGTGGGAGACAAATGAAAGGAAGTGGGAGACAAATGAAAAGAAGTGGGAAACAAATGAAAGGAAGTGGGACACAAGCCAGCCGGGAACCTGACCACAAGCACCCAGCCTGGGAGGCAAATGAAGAGAACTGGGAGGCAAATGAAAGGAAGTGGGAGACAAGCCAGCTGGGAACCCGACCACAAGGGTTCTCAATTCTCTCTTAAGATGTGTCCGCCCTTTGTGTCACTTGCTGGTGTCCGCTGGTCGCGTAGCATTTCTGTTCATTTGTCTCCCAGGTCTGTCACTGCTGGTGTCCGCCCCTTTGGCGATGTGACATCTATATTCACTTGTCTCTCAGGTCTGTCACTGGTGGTGTCCGCCCTTTTCCGCTGGCCATGCAGGAATTCTGTTCATTTGTCTCCCAGGTCTGGCACTGCTGGTGTCCGCCCTTTTCCGCTGGCCATGTAGTACCATTTCTATTCATTTGTCTCCCACGTCTGTCATCGGTGGTGTCCGCCCTTTTCCGTTGGCCATGTAGCATTTCTATTCGTTTGTCTCCCAGGTCTGTCATTTCCAGTCGCCATGTAGCATTTGTATTCATTTGTCTCCCAGGTCTGTCATTGGTGGTGTCCGCCCTTTTCGGTTGGCCATGCAACATTTCTATTCATTTGTATCCCAGGTTTGTCACTGCTGGTGTTTGCTCTTTTCCGCCATGTAGCATTTCTATTCATTTGTCTGCCACATCTGTCACTGCTGCTGTCCGCCCTTTTCCGCTAGCCATGTAGCATTTCTATTCATTTGTCTCCCAGGTCTGTCACTGCTGGTGTCCGCCCTTTTCTGCTGGCCATGTAGCATTTCTATTCGTTTGTCTCCCAGCCCTGCACTGCTGGTGTCCGCCCTTTTCCGTTGGCCATGTAGCATTTCTATTCATTTGTCTCCCAGGTCTGTCGCTGCTGGTGTCCAGCATTTCTATTCATCTCCCAGGTCTGTCACTGGTGGTGTCGGTCCTTGGACGCTGGCCATGTAGCATTTCTATTCATTTGTCTCCCACAGGTCTGTCACTGGCGTTGTCCATGCAGCATTTCTATTCATTTGTCTCCCAGGTCTGTCACTGCTGGTGTCCGCCCTTTTCCGCTGGCGATGCAACATTTCTATTCATTTGTTTTCGAGGTCTGTCACTGCTGGTGTCCGCCCTTTTCCGCTGGCCATGCAGCATTTGTATTCATTTGTTTCCCGGGTCTGTCACTGGTGCTGCCGCCCTTTTCCGCTGGCCATGTAGCGTTGCTATTCATTTGTCTCCCATGTGATTTCTTTCTTTTTGTCTTTCAGGCTTGGTGCCTGCACTGGTGTTTTCGGCCCTGTCCGCTGGAACAGGTTCACCTGTGAAAGGTTCTTGCTCCTTTGAAAGGGGTGCGTGACTGTCTCCGGGATTGCATTCCTGCCACACTGTGTAACTCTCTCAGCTTTGTTTTCCTTTTCGGGCAAGCGTTGGATGAATGACCGGATTGGATTTCGGCGCCCTGGCAGCGATCTCTCTGTTCAGTTGGGACGGAGGGCATACGTCAGGCACCAAACATCAATTTCATGTCGCATCCTTCGCTCCTCATGCTTTTATTTCTTGTCCTCACGTGTCAGCTCCTCGCTGACTGACCAGCATGACCAGCATCATGCTCGCACTTGAAGAATAATTCCCTAAAAGGTTTACTGTTAGGGCTTCTCAATTCTTTCTTAAGATGTGTCCGCCCGCTCTGTACTGCTGTGTCCGTCTCTGCCTTGCAATCCTTTACACTTGTCTCCCAGCTCTGGGCTGCTGTGGCCGCCTCTGCCTTGCAATCCTTTGTCTCCCAGCTCTGGACGTCGCAAGCTCTAGTTTCGATTTTGAAAAACACAAACTGTTTGGGGTCTACGGTGGTGTAATTTGGCAAGCCATGTAGGTGGTGGTTGAAATTCAATAAAAGAGTCAAGGTGGTGCAAAAACAATTTTCATACGCCATATATTTTTCATATGACAGATATTATTTCTAAATAATTTTGAGTATATGAGGACTCACCTTGACACAATTATTTAGAAATAATTTTGGGTATATGAGGACCTATATAATGAAACAAAGTTATATTGAATATGTTGAAGTGTAACGAACTCCAGTTTTTCTTGAAGTCTGTGTAGCCCAATTCACTGTCAGCCAAAGTGTGGTTGGCCTGACGCCCAACTTGGTTTCAACCTCAACCTTTGCCGTGTTTAAATGGTCCAGGTACTGCTTGAACCAAGAGGGTCAAAACTGTGATTGATGCAGCGGTGAGCTTTCCTTGTGGTTGCTTGTGGACACTTTAGCATGGTGATTCATTTCACTTACCGCCGCCTTTACATAGGCATCGATGTCAGCACAGCAAAACAGCGCTTGGCAGCATTTGCTTTCGCTTTGTCGTGTTGCATACACGTTCGGTTTCTTGTGCGCCTTTGTTTTCACGTGGTTGCATTCACATCTTGGTTTGTGGGAGTGGCGCCCCAGCATATTGCACATTGGTAGCGGAGCCCTGAGGGGCGGTAGGTAATTTCTGCACATTTTACCACGTCCTTTCGGCAGAGCCATGGATGGTCTGGCCCATGGCGATGACGGCGCTGAAGCGCCGGATGTTCCTGTGGCGGACGCCACGGCGGTGGCTGCGGCGACTCCATTGCCGCAAGATGATCCCTGGCAAGGTGGTCAGGATCCATGGAGTGAAGGGCCCAATCCGGGCAAGGGACTTGGTCACGGCAAGGGCACAGAAATGGGTTCTGTGTCACAGTCCGGTAAGCCTGGTCACGGAAAGCCTGGAAAAGGGAAGAAAGGAAAAGGGAAGGGAGAAAAGGGAGCGGTCAGTGTTGAAGAGCAGTCCCAACAGGAGGTAGCACCTCCATTGATCGTGACTCCCGAATCGACAGTTGGAACAACAAGCCCATCCCTTCAGCCAGCAGTACAGATGACACAGCCCATGCATAGCATGTCGTCCATGGACCCACTCGGACCGGGAGCAGTGCCAACCACACCATGGGGTCAGCCCACCATCTATGGCCCACAGTTTGGATGCATGCCGCATGCAACGCCACCTGGAATGGTATCCAATGGTTATGGACCAGTTCATACCATGTCACCCCACGTGACGACGGCCACCCAGCAGTCAGGCATGTTCATCCCGCCAAGCCTGGGACCACACCCAGGAGTATGTATGCAGGCAGGACCAACACCACAGCCGTGGATGATGCCCAGTTTTCCTATGACATGGCCCTGTCAAGGCATGAGTCCAATGAACCCATTGAACCAACAGTTGAACAACATGCAGCATACTGAAGGATCTATGGGGTCATGGTCCAAGCCTTCGGTTGAACAGTCCGCCAAACAACCAAAGCCCTCCAAGAAGAAGGAATCCCAGGAAACTGAGGGACCAGGTGATCCGTCAGAGCCAGAAGAACCAGATGATGCCTCTCAGCGTTCCTCGACAGCAGCGACCTCGGAGATCAAGTCCATGCTGAAGAGGCGACTTCGACAAGAAGATGGCTATAGGCCGAAGAGCTCACTGGGATCGGTGAAGGTGGAGGAGTTTTATGGAGATCGAACAAGATATCTCAAGTGGAAGCGGACTATTCAGGCACAGCAGCATCTCTATGCCCTGGAAGGGAATGAGTTGGCTATGTTGGTTTATCTGTCCACCAGAAAAGAAGCTCGTGATGTTGTGGAACAGAATCCGATTCAGTCCTACACCGAGCAGGGCGGACTTCAGCTCCTATGGAAGGTGTTGGATGAAGCATTTGGTGAAAGTGATGCCGAACTGTTCGAACGAGTGGACAAAGAGTTGGACAGGTGCCGACGACAGCCAGGAGAGACGGTGGCCCACTACCTATCTGAGATGAAGAGATTGAGGGCCCAGTACAGCCGTGTTGACCCCGAGTCCAAGATCTCCGACATGGCTTGGGGACAGCGTTTGTTGCAGAGAGCCTCACTATCTCGAAGAGAACGCCACGACGTGTACTATGCTGCTGGAGCTTGTTTTCAGAGCAGTGCAATAGAGAAGGCCTTGAGAGTTCGATGTGGCAGGATTCATGAAGATGAGAAAAGGGGCAATTACAAGGTTCAAGATGAACGGACTCCTCCGTATCGGCCCAAAGGACAACAATACTTCAAGAAGAAGGTCATTGTGAAGAAGCAGCACGGTGCCCACGCTGCTATGGAAGAAGAAGGAGAGCAAGAAGATGGCCTTGAAGAAGAACGTATGGAGGAGGACGAGGAGGCCATGGACATCCTGTATGAGGATGAGGAACAGGCTGCAGAAGATGAGGAGGGTGAAGATGAGGAGAATGACAGCCTGGATGCAGAAGATTTGAAGGAGGTGTTTGCAGCTGGATGGAGGGCGAAGCAAAAGACAGCTGAAGTTCGGAAGAATCGTGGTTGGAAGACATCCTCAGGAAGCAATGAGAAAGGGGCAGGAAAAG